CTGCTAATAATTGGAATTTAAAACAAATCATGCATTCACTGTGAGGGTCCAAATGATCTTAAATAATTCTGCGGCAGAGTTTCTGCCACACCAAGCTCCAACACAAATCTTCCCCCGGTAAATCCAGAGCTGGCTCCCCCAGGGGCAGCTGCCACCCGTCGGAACTGCTGGCCGCTTGCACAGAGTAACACACACAACTGCCACGAGACCCGAGCAGCTCCTTTTTAGTAGATTACAATTACAGTGGCTCTGGAATGAGGAGTATAACTGAATATTACTGAAAAGATGCAGCAAACTGGGAAGTCTTGTGCGGTGAGCCAAGAGCCCGTGCCCTGGCAGCGCCAGGAGCTCTCACGATTGTCGGGTATTTGGGAGCCCGACTGGCTCTCTGGTTCCCGACCCCCCCAGGTTACCTCCCCCAGGTGCGTGCCGGCCAACGCAGAACCTTCTTAAAGGCAGGAACAACCTTAAACACAGAAGTGTTCTGCACCGCCCCAAACGTGCTGTCAGTAACGACACGGATAAACCTTCCGTAAGCATAGCCATCGTTCGATCTGAAAAGGTTTTTTCACGGATCTCTTTCACTAGCTTAAAATTACACATTCTAGTACCTGGAGGTATCTAAAAGACATGTAGATGTGGCACTTAGGGACACGGTTTAACATGACTTGGCAGTGCTGGGTGAATTGTTGGACTCGATCTTAAAGGTCTTTCCCAACCTAAACGATTCTACCTGCTTGTAAAGAGGAACGTGAAATCCTCAGGACCACCATACCAGTAGATGATGGGAACATTCCTGGTACGAAGGTGATTCAAATAGGAAGGTCAAGTAAACCTTCGCTCACAGAAATTTCAAAATTAGCCTGTGCTACATAAGTTCCACAGAATTAAAATGGAAAAATTAATCACAAAGTGCAAGAAAAGAAAACCTAACCTTAGCTGGAGTAAAGCAGACAGTGTCCTAAATCCAGTGAGGACCCCAGTGCAAACCAAAACCAAAACTTCTCAGATTACGAACCAAAAGCAGACTCTATTCCTAGATTTATTCAGCTCTAAATTTGAAAGTATGTTCCATCGACTTTGACATTAGGAGCACAGAGAATCAGTTACAACCCAGCTTACTTTGTCGACGCCCATTCGTTTAAAACCTGCTTGTAGAACCTTGAAGTTTTGAATGTACTCATGTTCCAATTTTGCTTGAAACTTCACTTTCTTGAGTGCTACAGAACCTGGGAAGAGCATGTCCATAAACTGACAGTAAGCAGCACCTGCCAAAAGAAAAATACAGCACCCAGGGTGAACCGAGGCAGCTCGGTAGCCTGTGGAAGTTGCTCTTCAGTCAGACCAGCAAACGGGCCTGACTCACTCCTCAGCTACACAGTCCCTTAAAGGCAACAAGAGCAGGAAAGCAGGAACCTTCAGTCTCCCATTTTTTGGTGCAGCACGGCTGTAAATAAGCTTAAGCGAGCTGCAGAACCAAACTTCTGGTCTCATGACTTGAACTCTTACGAAAAGAGCAATCCTGTCCCCATAATTTTAAAAGAAAAAAAAAATCCACTGAGTAATTTAACTTTCTGTTCTTCACAGATATCAGTACAGATCTGAGATGTTACCTGTGTCTAGCAGGCACGTAATCTCTTAACATTAACAGAACTAAACTAGAAAAATAACTATTCTAAACATCGTATTTAATCATTATTAAAATAGTGACACATTTACTTATTATGAACAGAACCTATACACAGCTCAAGGTGCCCTCAAAGTTAAGAGGCCCAATTAAGATGGATTATATTTAAATCAAGCCTTAATCAAAGAACTGAAATAAGATAGTGTTTCTATTAATTTTAAATCCTTCATGTCCTTCAGTTCAGCTCTTACTGTAATAAGAGCAAAAGAAAGATTCAGTTCAGCCACAAAGAGCAGACAATCACCTCCAAAAAACCTAGCTTTTGGAGAATATACACCGCCAACAAAAAGAGACGCTTTTAAACTGTTTCATCCTCACTCCGCAGCGATGATCTGCAACTGTGTGCCACCAAAAATACAGCCGCAGTGTTCTGAGCACTGTTCCCCCCCTACCAATATCAACGCGGTGCACCCAGAGAGCAAAACAAACAGCAGCATGCCAAGCCTCTGCCAGCTCCAAAGGCCAGGAAGTAACACATCCTGGTGTCACACTAACCCACCCTGTTCATCTCCACCACAGGCAGCAAAGTTCTGCAGTGCTCACTTTCTACCAAGGTATTCTGCGGGTCTTTCGGGGCTCCCACTTTCATCTGCTACTAGCTGCTCATCCACCAGTGCAAATTAAAAAAAAAAATAAAAAAATCTTGCTGCTTGATCCCCACTGTCTTTCAGTTCACTTGCTGAAGAACTCCAAGGCTCAACTCAAAACCAGATGACTTGCCAGAAATCAGGGTTTTGCTAACTATTGATAGTCTGAGCAATAATCGGGATTAAAAAAACAGAGGCCAGAGCATAAGACAAAGGTTGTTTTTTGTGCATTTATGCAACCTCAAAGTGCTGCTGTCACTACTGCCCTTGCCAAGGGTAACACAGCAAGCCTGGAAACTCCCGTCTTCACATGACAGCGAAGCCACCTCCATTCCTGCAGAGGCACGAAGCGTTTTTGCAGACACAGGAAAGGGACGTTACTCAGCACATACCACATCAACAGCTCCCAGCCTTTTCCTGAAAACAGGTGAGCTGCAGTTCTGCAGAGCCAGCACTAATTACCCTCACCCCTCGAGACAGAGCTCTTGCAGCGTTCAAGACTCACAGCAACCCTAAGCAAAACTTCTCAGCGGTATAAATCAACGCTGCACACAACAAGTTTTTTTAACCTCTCTGAAAGCAGACAGTGCTTATCATCTCCCTTACTTCTGTGGTTGTAGATCTTTAGTTCATCCTTACAGTTTTTCCTCCATCATCTCACTACAGAAAAGCCACCACAAATACCTGTCAGATGTCTGCTCTAAGCCCTCTACTTCTCTGTAATCTTTGTGAGCGTTTCTTTCAGAGACTGTACTGACAGTCCCAAACTTATTTTAAATTTATTCCTCCTTTTATTCCACCTCCAATTTCCACACCTCCCATTCTGTGAGCCACACCTTATCTCAAACGAGCTGCACTTCCACTTTTCGCCAAGTCCCTTTCACCTGCCTGCTGCAGTTATCCAAATCACCATCTTTTACTTACTTGAGGTTTTTTCAGCTCTTACTCCATACACAGACTATTATCTTTCATTCGTTGCTACAAGCCTCCTCCCACACACACGCGCCTCCCCGTGATGACACTTGACTCCATTTCGGTACCACAATCACTTCTCCTTTTCTGCCCACGACTCCATCTGAGACTCAGCTCTGCTAAAGTCGGCTCAAGCCGGAGTCAGCTGGGGTGACCCGGCCCGACGTGCGCCTCTACCACGCGGACTCGGAAAGCCCTGAAGGTGAACCCGAGTCACCAGCTCGCCTTCCTCACGCAGCTTCTTCTGCCCAGCCTCCCCAATCTCCAAGCAGTCCTCTCCCATAAAAAAAAAAAAATCATATTTATTTATGCTGGTTGCTACACTCGTAAGACTTACTCTATGCATCAAGATTAATGCTTAATTCCTCATTGGAAAACACCCTCTCCTAAAAGCCTTTTTTTCACATTAACACTCATTCCTTCTTACTGCACCTATGCTGCAGTGAGTCAGAAGAATATGCCCTTTCATTGTACTTACATTATTAACCACCATTTCAATAAAACTCTAACCACAGCCAGATTATAACAGCGGCTGTGAATCTGCTCATACCAGGAACTGAGCCAACAGTGGGCACAGAGGGCCAGCACAGACGGTTCGGACGGAGCAGCTGTACCTCTACAGAACCGGGGTTCACACCAAGGCCGGACCCCCCTCACCTGAGCAGAGCTGTTCGATCTTGGTCAGCGTCAGCTGCAGAGACTCATTGATCCACGCGAGCATGTCATGTCGGCTCAAGTTATCGCTGGTCACTGAAGTAGAATACACATTAACTGCCATTTTCTGAAAGACAGAACCAAAGGCCCAAGTACCACAAACGTTAATACTGCACGTTTTCATGGCTCGCCAGGCTGCAGCGGAGGCGGTTCCTTCTGAGCCTGAATTCACTACACAACAGCCGAGCATAACACGATGCGCAGGAGACGCGGTGAAGGTGTCTGCTGCTAACAGCTGGGAGGACCCTACTTCATCATAACCGTAAAGGCCACGGTTTCGGGTTTTGTGAAGAAAAATTGCTACCAAGGCACTCACATGGAAACTCAGATGAAAGGAATCACAGCTGCAGCAAGTCATTCATCCCTCTCCTCCACGCCAACCGAGCAGGGCAGAAATACTTCCTGGTCGACCACGGTATCTCTCCAGGGAGAAACACCAAGCGGCCGGTCCCCGCCCAGCCCCGCCGGCACAAAGCGGAGCCGCCGCGCTC